ATTGACTCACATTGGAAAGTTCACAGAGTATGTTGCTTGACTTGGGAAAGAAAACCTCCAGTCATCTTGACAACTGTTGTCAGGACCCTCCACAAAATCCACAGATTTGTTGAAGCTCAACAGAAGGGCAGCATACTCAAGAATTTCTTCCATCAAGGCGAGATGAGTACATTGCTAAAGGATTGTAAGGCTGGATTGCAACAAGGATTTGAGTTTTTTCAGGTGTGGCATTTGTTTGGTGACTCAGCCACTCAATTAAGAATGTGATATGTAGGTCTCAATGGTCAATCACATGAAGGACATTACACAGATGCAAGAAGATGCAGAAAAGCGACACAAAGAAGTGCTTGACATGGTCGAAGCCCTGTCGGACACAACCAGTTCAGATAGATCATCCTCTGTAAGGAAATTCTACTCTACTAAGAATCAAATCATGAATGTTGCACAGATCAGTGGACTTTATTCGGGCTCTCATAACAGGTCAGTTTCCGATGAGCTCTCCATTCTATCTTTTGTATCTGACATATATTCAAGCTCCAATTCAATCTCCATGCTACCATCGGAGCCCAAGATATTCCATGGACGAGACTCAGAGCTTTCAGACATTCTTCACCTTTTCAGGCAAGAAACACCCAGGATTGCCATTTTGGGTGCAGGTGGAATGGGAAAGACCAGTCTTGCGAGAGCTATCATCCATCGTACAGAAATTACCAAGAGATATAATCAGCATCGGTTCTTTGTTGCTTGTGACTCAGCAGCAACCCAAGTGGAACTTGCTGCTCTCATAGGAGCCCATGTTGGATTGAAGCCAGGAAAAGACCTTACACGCCCAGTCATCCAATACTTCTCTAGCAGCTCAAAATCTCTCCTGATTCTGGATAATCTTGAGACATTGTGGGAGCCAGTTGAGTCCCGAGGCAAAATAGAGGAATTTCTGTCACTGCTCACAGATGTGGATCATCTTGCATTGGTAGTAGGTCCCCATAATTTTTCCACCTAGACATTCAACTTATACAAAACAGATCACAATGCGAGGAGCAGAAAGGCCAGCTAAAGTGTCATGGACTCACCCATTTTTGCCTCCTCTCAAGTCCTTGGAACAAGATGCAGCACGACAAACATTTATAGATATTGCAGACAGTACACATGATCCAAAAGAGGTTGACAAGGTCCTCTCCCTGACAGGCAATCTGCCTCTTGCAATTGATCTTGTCGCCCATTTGGTTGACTCTGAGGGTTGCTCCCATGTATTATCCCGCTGGGAGGAGGAGAAAACATCCTTGATCTCACATGGATATGACAGAACATCCAACTTGGACTTGTCAATTTCACTGTCCTTGTCAAGTCCTAGACTCAATCCCCATTCAAAGGATCTCTTGAGTCTCCTGTCAATGCTCCCTGATGGTCTTTCAGATGTTGAGCTGGTCCAGAGCAAGCTCCCAATTGATAATATCCTGAGTTGCAAAGCAGCATTGGTTGGTACCACCTTAGCCTACAGTGATGAACAAAAGCAGCTAAAAGCATTGGTACCCATCAGAGAGTATATGCAGAAAATTCAGCCACCTGGGGATCACCTCATTCAACCTCTTCACAAACATTTCCGGAATTACTTGAGTTCTTCATGGAATACGGTGGAACTCAATCAAGTTTCAGCACAGTCACTCGAGTATCATCCAATTACTCAAATATACAGAATATCCTTCAGAATGGGTTGCAACAGGGTCATCCAGATCTGAAGGATAGCATTTACTGCACATGCTATCTGAATAGCTTTAGTCGACGCATTGGGCAAGGACCTACTTCTCTCCTTCAACAGATTCAGAACATCCTTCCACACCCATGTGACCATCGTCTTGAAGCATACTTTATTACTGAGTGCCTTGATTCATGGAGTTTGTTTCAAATTTCAAATGCAGATACTTTGGTATCTGAAGCTTTGGAAAGCCTCAAGAAGTTCAATGACCCAGATCTTAAATGTATGCTCCCTGACCAATACTGGTCTGTTGATACTGACCAAGTTCACACAGGCAGATTCTATAATTGCTTGGTAGCCTATTATTGGAGAAAGAGTGATGCATCCTCTGCCATGAAATTTTGTGCGGCTGCTATATCTTTAGCACTTTCAACTGGAAACACCAAACAGCATTCCAATGCATTGCAGCACCTTGCATGGGTAGAATACAGCCTTGGTGAATACTCCGCAGCTCAAGTGCATGCAAATGAGGCCCAGAGATTAGCCATAATTTCCGCAGATTTATACAGAGAAGCACAGGCACTCGATGTTGAGGCTACTTGCTGCTATACATTGGGAGACTACACAAAAGCTATGTCTCTCTGCATTAGAGCAAGAGACCTCTTAGGACTTTGTGGCATGTCCCATGGAACCTTGAACTATGACATCATGAATATTCAGGCAGAAATCCACAAGCTCAAATCAGAATATGTTGAGGCTCGCAGTTTCCGTACTCGGATTCTTGAAGGAACTACTATACAGGATCCCTACAACTGTGGTTTTGCTTTACTTAATGTCGCTGAAATTGATGTGTTAATTGGTGCACCAAAGGATGATGTGCAGAGAAATTGCGACAGAGCCAGAAAAATGTTAGACACTTGGGGCGATGTTGTGGGAGTGACAATGTGTGATGTTATTCTTGCAGATCTCCACCTGAGGGAGGGAAATTCATTGGCAGCAAAGACAATCCTTGTAAGGTGTTTCAAAGTGACTCTGGAATACTCCCAAATGCAAACTTATTGTCTGGAACGGCTTGGTGACACCAGTCGCTGGGGTTGTTTGCATGGGATGTCGAGCTGGACAGCTGTTTTTCTTGTTCACTCTCTCAAAAGAAAAGAGAAGCTTGGAATCTACAAGGCACTTCAATTCCTTGGAGATATCTTCCTCTCCCAGAATGATGAGCATACAGCCACCAGTTTGTTCACAGTTGCTCTAGAGGGATTGACCAAGATGGATGTGCATCACAGCAGAGCTGAATGCATGCTCCGACTTGGAGACATTTCAATGGGACATGGTGACCTGCTCAAAGCAGTAGAGTTTTGGGAAGCAGCTAGGCCCCTGTTTGAACGCTCTTCGCAGGCCAAACAGGTTCAACATATCAATGAGAGACTTGCTGGTATCAGTGAAGATGTGCTGGAGCAACACAGAAACAACTTGGCTTGTCTGGCAGAGCTCAATGCACCATCTGGGACTGTGGAAGAACTGGAGGATGATCTGTCTGATATTGAGGACCTGGATACGATGGATATGGGTGAAGAGAATGAGCTTGGTTTGATTGTGGCCTGAGGCTTCCAGGAATTGTATGTTTTTGTTGGTGGTTTTCTACATTGATATCACATACAGTTGTTGCAGGGGAATACGCCCCCTTTTTCTTGTATTTTTAATGTTTTTTTTGGGAATTTTTTGTGCTCATCGCGCACGACGACGGCGAGCACTCGTCGACGTCGCCGGCCAAACATGTACAACATTGACGTAATTAGTCACACACTTCTGATCATCGTGGAACGCGGTGGCGAGACTCTATCAACACCGTGCAGTATATATATTATTCCTGCGGGGAGACTCTGCAGTGATATATCAAATTTGCCTCTGAATCAGAGGTTTTGATATATCGCGCCTCCGCGCTGATCAGTGACCCCTGATACATCACTCCCCCATACTAAGGTCGAGTGAGGGAGATTCGGGAAGTCGTGATGCAAGCGTGACTCTGTCACTCTTCTTCCTTTGCTCGCGTCCGCGACTCTTCCCGACTCTCCCGTCTTTTCTCGCCCGCCCTTACCGCTTCCCCTTTTCTCACTCGTTAGTGCGTGGTTGAGTTGGGTTTGCGCCCGGTGCGCTTTCCCGATCTCCGTGCGCTCAGAGCCCCGTATTGCCCGCTCGGAGCTGCTCCCAGACCCGTTGACATGTGGAGCCGTGCTGCCCCTGCGCGCCCTCCTGTCGCGTCTTCCCGCAGCGCAGCAGCCGCCCAAAGGGTGGCCGAGCGGACGAGCTAGTGGCTCTTCCCCCCCACACGCGTAACTCTGTCTTAGCAGATAGAGTTCCGCGCCCGTTCTCCTTCTTCCATACACACGCGTACGTGTTGACCGCTTACCTTATCGGGCGCCTCTGGCTGTTCCGAGGTCCTCCGAGTCTTCCCGACCAGTACGAACTGCATTTCCCAAGATTCTCTTTTAGAGGAAAATAATCATAAGGTGCCAGAATGTGTTACACTGCGGCCGGGCGGTACCATTTATTCGGATGGCGGGAACATTATTTCAATCGAGCCCGAGGTCACTGGAAATCGATTCGCGAAAAGCGAGTGCCAAGAATGGCTTTGGCTTGGCTTCTGGCCTGGCCAGATATTTCCTGCATTCGAAGCCAGACAAATCCCCGTCAAAGCCATGGCCCCCAGGCCAAGGCAAGGCCAGAAAAACACTAAACACAGTAGCCCCATTCAGACGATAATTTGGCTGGAGGCCGTGAGTGCCGCATCAAAAAGAAATGAGTAGATGCCCTGCAGAAAAGCTGTTAGTAAAATCTCGGAAGAGAGGTGGCCTGGAAGGGGAAAAAGAAAATCTCCAACGTCATTCGGACGCCAGGAGTCGAACCCGGTCCTTCCTTCAACTTTTTTCCTATCATTTCTTGTGCGCCGTGCACTTAGACTGCATCCGAGTTCCTTGTACTCGAAAACTTGAAATTCGCCGTATTGAACAAATTGAACTGGGCAGCGCACGTCCTGGCTTGGAATACAACAATTGTGGAAAGAGGGCACCATGTCCTGTCCGAGGTTCTATCCTTCCTCCTCAGCGGGCTAAATACCAGTGTCTGGAAGACATACCTAAGCTTACAGCCATATTCTCGGGGAAGTTGGACGAGTTGTCAAGGCCCGAAGCCAGGCAGGTCTGGATAAAACCTTTGAATCGATATGTATGTAGACAGATAATGCATGAAGAGGAGGTCAACATCAACGAGAAGGAAAAGGAAAAAAAAAATCCCGAGCCAACGAGTATTCGAACGCCGGGAGTCGAACCCGGTGCTCCCGCTTCAACTGCTTAGAACAATTTCTGCAAGACGAGACAGGTGTGCACCGTGCACCACATCCGAGTTTTTGTCCCCATTCTTCAGCTGAGTAAGTATGAGAGTTTCAGGGGAAATATTTGCGGAAAGCGCAGCGGTAAGAGAAATAGTTGTCATGGTCCATCATGATCAATTCGGACGCTAGGAATCGAACCCGGTTCTCCCACTTCATCGTCAAATATGGCTGTGAAGGCCGTGGGTGTGCGCCATGCATCACATCCGAATTCCTGTCCTCGCTATTCAGCTGGGTAAGTATCAGAGTATTTAAGATGTACCTCTGCTTTCCCCACACATTTCCAGCCTGAAATGATTGAATCACCCTCTTCGCCGAGGTGGTCTGGAGTCAAATTCATCGGCACCCTGCCGAGTCGTTTCAGCATTAGTTTTCATTCACCTGAAATGTCCTGTACTGGGAACCATATTGGCCTTCCAGAAACTCCCGCTGAAATCATACATTTCAGGAGTAGTTTATTGTTACCTCAAATGAATCATATAAGCTACAGTTTCGGGTGCCCCCGAAATTATTGTTTTCAGACTGCCTGAAACCCATCGGCCCGGCCCGGCCCGATCCATTTCGGGAAGCTTGGAAACAATAGTATCGGGAACACCCGGAATTGTGGCGGATACTATTGTTTTCAGGACACAATAAACTGCTCCTGAAACCCTTCGTTTCAGCTTCTGTATCAGTGAGGCGGATATGGACCCAGAAACGGGAATTTTCGGGTCCTCGGATGCTGTTCCCGAAACGACCCATTTATGTTAGCATTTCAGCTCGACCAGAAACACAGATTTCAGGTCCACTTTCAGGTCTATTTATTCTGTAGCTGATATGAATCATTTCCGAAACGTTTTTGGCCCCACTGAAACCTTACTTTTTCCAGAGTGCTAGCTACCGTAACTCACGACCGGCACATAAAATGTACGAAAATCCGCCGCCACCACCGCCGCCCGTTACTCTTGTCCGCGCCTACCGCAGATTGATACCACTCACCATTCCTTCCATCCCTCCTATCGCTTCGAATTCCTCATCCCACAGCCCTGTTACCCTATCCCCATCCTCAGCCTCTACCCAGCTCGTTACGGGCCCCCAAACGAACAAAGTTCCAAAAAATGGATGATGTTCGTTCGACATATGGTTTCCCAAATCTCGGAGATTTTCTCGCTGTACTTTTTCAGCCCCGCATCCCCGGAGAGAAGGACCTTCGAACGAAACGCCATAGAGCTACTGTAAGCGCCTTTCTGCAGGACACCTCGACTATCAAAATGTGCGACATTATTGAGCTGCTCTACAATCATCCACAGAGCAGACCAAAACAAAAATATCCCGAACAGCGTGCCGCTGCCTTCTCTCCCAGCATACCCCTTAAGGACATTCGGTTTGCTCGACCATGTTGGGCTGCGTGGGCTACGCGACTCGTGGGCAATTCAGTCTACTATAGAGTTGGCAAACTTGCACGCAAAAAGCGGAATGATGTGAGAAGTCGGCGCCATCTTAGGGCTTCGACGAATGGGCGGAAGGAAAACGCGGAAGTTTTAGAGTGGGAAGACACGGAGTTTACGATCCAAGGTCTCGCGGATGAGTACCGCAATGAAGACGAGGTAATCTGGTACCTCACAGAATCTATGACTGCTTCTCGCAAGAATGGTGTCGTGGTAATGCGCGCGCGGCGTCCGCACCCTGTTGTACTATGTTATTCTCTGGTTGTTGAATATTTTCTTATCAGGTGATACATAACAGATTCAAGTCGGCGCGATCAGTTCATTCATCCTTAGCCGCAACCAGTACGCGAGCGGCGATCTAGCTCTTCCCCTGGGGATCTGGCATTTCGCATGTAAATCTCATGTGGACTTCAAGCGAGTGTATTCCCGGTTTGGTTCTATCGTCAGTGACAGCACCGCCCGCAATGCTCTTAACTCCATGACTGAGTCAAGCTTGGCTCGCTTGCGAGAAAAGGTCCGTGACGCGACTGCGCGTGGCGAGTCTGCAGTTCGAAAGATCCTCGACAATATCCAACAGTATGCCAAGGTCTACGAGCACGGATTGGGTCTGTCGGAAAAATCCTGGGTGGGTTGTATCGTCACTCAACCGGTCCCAAGCCGTTCCAAGGTCCCAATTTTTTGGTGGCTTGCAACACTTGGGTAAGGTGCATGTAACCCGGTTCCAAGCCAGCGGCGGGGTTACAGTCAGTTACAATCCATTCAAAGCCAGTTGGGGGATTATAGACCTTGAGACCTGTTCTAAGTGGTTGCAACTAACACACGCTACGCCAATTTAAAAAAAAATTTTGCATAAAACTAATTATAAAAGTACATTATCGTGCTACTACGGAACAATTCAACGTCCACGCCGCTCAGCGTTGCGAGAGCGACTCGGGGCTGCAGGCCATCATGATGAGGATTGCCTGTTTTCACCTGCGGATGGTGCAGGTTGGCACCTCACAGCCGACGTAGATGGAGGAATAGTTGGGGTCCGGGAGGTGGTGCGCAACGGGTTTGATGATTGAGCGGCTGATTGGGCTGGGAACTGGGTGGCAGTTGCAGCAAGCTTGTAGCGAGAAGGTGCAGACGCTGGGGTGGGAAGGCGAGAAGGCGAGGTTGTCAAGCTTTGGCCAGGCATCTTCATGGCTGCTCTGTGGAGGGCTGGTGACCTGTACAAAGGTATTAGACCAGTGGTACAAAGTTTCAAGTGGTCATACGCGCTTGGGGAGCAATGCACTCTGCAGCCGACGGTACTTGAGAGCAAAAACATCGTCAAGCTCCTCGTTGCAGCCAAATTTCCTGAAGAGCCTCAGAAATAGCATGTTAGGATAAAACGGGGACGCACCAGGATTGTTGCAATGGCAATCACACCCCGGGTTATACAGGTGATCTTGTGTACCTGTTCGAGGCAGTTGGCTTACGGAAGCTCGGATTTGCCTTCGAAAAGCCCTTGTGCGCCTCGACGACTACGGATGATGGAAACATACATCTCAAAAAGAAGAGGGAAATGAGCCACGGGAAAGAAATGTGACGGATTGCGCACCTCGACCACATTGCCCTCATTGGCTTGGACTTGCGGTTATTGGCAAACCTAAGAAGAATTAGTGAGAGCAATGAGTCAAAATGTGTCACAATGGGCCCTACGCATGGTCCGCGTTATGGTCTGCGGCAACTCGCTGGGTGTGAGCTGCTAAGTGAAAGCGAGAAGGCTGTGGAGGGGCCAGGGAGATGAGGGCAGAGAGTGTGGCATGGTTGTGAGTTAGATGGTGGTGGTGAAAGGAAAGAAGATGCACTTGCCACTGTCTTAAGTAGTGGCTTCGACTTGCGCATTGTTCTCAATGATGTGGCTCCGAGAACTTTGCCACCGCAAATTCGGTCACGTGGCAGTGACTTGCGATCATCCGAAACGCGACGCACTTGCCCCTCAGAGTCCAGACGTAATGGCACCTAAAAAACTTCCAAGAAGTCGATTCACAATGTTGAATGTTCATTGCGCTTAAACATGTTACACGCGGCGGGCTGTTGTGCCCTATATTTGGCGCGTCGCCAAGGGGGGTTCGGCTTTCGAAAATCGGATATAGGGTCGAAAAGTTTTTTTCGACCTTCCCTGGACCCCCCTCCCCCCCCTCCTTCCATAAAGGGAAGGAGTTTCCCACCCCTGGCAGCGGACCGCTCTTTCCGGTCATGTGCATCCTCACCGCCACCACCCCAATTTGGCCACAAAATTCACGATGTTTTTGCACATCGTCGAGGGCATCGTTCCAGTGTTATTCAACTATTCTATGGGTGCTACTGCATTAAATTCAACTTTTTCTCAGTCTTATATGGCCCACATTAGATCTAAAAAACTAAACTGAGCACTCCGCAGCTCCATACAAGCCCCCGTTTGAGCTCCCAACAGTGAACTTAAGCCTTTGGAAGCTCCTAAAGGCCTAGAAAGGTCTCTTTTCCTTCCCTACTAACATATAGGTAGAAGTTTTTTTCGGCCCTCCTGGGGACCCCCCCCCCTCCCACCCCATATCCGAAATTTTAATGCCGACCCCCCCTTGCGCGTCGCGCAAGGTATTCTACCTGGTGGACTGCTTTGACGAGGATGAGTTTCTACGTATTAATGAGATATTAATTTGACTGTGAATACTTTAATTTCATCCCTGATGTCGGTCAGGATGGATCCCCACTGAAAAAAGTCGGCAGCAGTGAAAGTCAAAGTTGTTATACTGGCACTGAACATTTTTCTACGTGAGGTCCCAACTCCTCACTCAAAAGCCGTGCAAATCCATCTCAAGGGGTTTAAAGCCTAGAAGGGCCTTGAGATACTTTGAACGGCTCAGAATCAGTTACAAGTTGGTTACAAGCCACCCCGCCAGCGGCTTGGGACCAGTTACAATCCCACCCAAGCCGACAAGCCGACCCAATCCGTTGCAACTGATTTGGGTTTTTTCCGACATCGCGAAAATCAGCTCAAAGTTGGAACCGCCTGCACGGCTTTCTTTTATGATGATTACGAGCCTGGCGCGTTCGATGCCAATGACCATGTGGCGCGCGTCATTAAGGAGGATCGCAAAGACATGACGTCGGAGAGTGTATACTCTAGCATCAACTGGTCGCACATATGGGATGTCACTGATCACCACTACGTCCGTGTCATCCTCGAATTTGTCCCTCATCTCAACCATCTCTCTGCTCAACTTTCTGCGCGTTTTCGAAAAGCCCCGATTGCCCTGTTGCGCTTGCGTGCCGACCGCAAGACAATTGTGCAGGCTCTACCCACTAACGCAGAACGAGAGGTCGAAAACAAAGGGATGCAACATGCAATACACAACTTTGATACTTCGTCAGGTGATTTGAGCATTTTGACGAATGTTCCAGCCATCTCAAAGTCTTGAAGCGCCATGAGAAGCTCTTGCATCAGAATGGTGAGAAGTCTTGCGCCTTCCCGCTCATGAGCCAGGCCTTATCGTCTAGTCGTCTGGTAAGCAGAAGATTTTGAGCCTCGACGGTCGCCAAGCGCGGATTTGATGCTTGTGAGGCCGTGCGGAGGGCCTTGA